AACCCCTGTTCTCTCATTAAGCCTTCCATCCCTCTCACTGAACCCCTATCCCTCATCAAGCCTGCTGTCCCTCTAACTGAACCGCTATCCCTCATCATGCCTGCCGTCCCTCTCACTAAGCCCCTATCCTCTCATTGGACCCTCATGCCTTGACTAAGCTCCCACTGGCTCACCAAACTCCTACCTCCTCATTGAGCTCCATCCCTTTCCTGAATTCTCATCACTTCCACGTGCCCACATTCCTTCCCTGAGACCACATTCCTGTATCTCCTCTTTGTTCCCTCACTGAGCTGACTACCTTTCTCACTCAGCCCCCATCCCCTTATTGAACCTGCCTCAATGAGCCCCCAACCCTTCACTGAACCCCACCCTCCTCACTGAAAAGTCCTTCCCCAAACCCATCTCCTTCCTGAGACCCCATCCCTTCATTGAGTCCCATGGGTTAGAGCAGGGTCAGTGCACAAATGGGTGCTGGGGGCTGGGCAATGACTCACTCCGGGAGACTTGGATGAGCTCCGTGACACTGAAGACCCCAGATGTAACAAAGCTTTCCTGGAAGTCTGTGGTGTCTGTGAAGAAAGAGAGACAGTGGCCAGTCAGAGGGAGGAAGGCACTGTGTGGGTTGGGATGAGGAGCCTCTGGTTCCAGCACCTCGTCCTGTTTATCCTTTTGTTCATCCTTCAAAGAATCCCAGGAGTGAAACAGCCTTGGGTTGATCTCCCCCATCTGCCTGCAGCAGGAAGGGCCACATACCTTGGCCAGAAAGGATCTGGAAAGGACCTGAGAACGTAGAATGTCAGAGCTAGCAGACACCTTAGAGATAATCTTGACTATGTAGGTTTGGAAACTGAGGCTCAGAGAAGATGAAGGACTTGTTCAAGGTCACATAGGGGATACTGGGGTCTTCTGATTCTTGTCACCTGCCTTCCCCTTTGGGCTATGCTGTCTCCCCTAGGCACTGTGTTAAGATCTGGGTTCTACTCCAGCGTGCCACTTCTAGTACATCATCTCCATGTACCCTGGAGAGATTCATTTTCACTCATTCTATAGGCTGGAAATGAAGGTCCTGAGAGATTATGGACCTGCCTCATCATATAGGCTATCAGGTTAAATCAGGATTAGAGCCCTCTTCTTTTTCCTCCTTTTACCAATTCCCCTTTTAACTCTACCCCATCCCTCATGGTCATTGGAGACACATTGAGCAATCCCTCCAAATGCCCTTGGGGGTAGGGTGGGGGTGATGCAACACATATACCAATGGACTGTGGTTGGGCATAAGGCCCACGTGCTATAGATGGTCAGGGGAGATGGTTAAGGTTTCGTGTGTGTGTGTGTGTGTGTGTGTATGTCCCCTCCCCCCCAATTTTCTCCACCAGGGGGCAGCAGTTGTCTGACTCCCTAAATTTATGCTTTGTCCCAGCATCCCTTAGGTATTGTTCTGGGCACCTCCATTACCACCTGTGGATGGCCCTCCTAGAGACAGTCTGTACTCATCCTTCCTAGATACCGTCTCTCCCCACTCCACCCCTCCACTGCCCCTTTTCACATTTCTAATCCTAGATTGTCCAGAGGCTCCTTAAGAATGTCCCATTTCCTGCTCCCTAGATTCCTTAGGGATGGTCTGTCTTGTCCTCTAACTATGGGTTTTCCTCAGACTCCCTGGAAGACCTCATCCACTGTCTTCTTCAGCTTTCTCCTCTTTTCAATGACTCCCATACTTCATTTCTGGCCTTGTTTCTCTTAAGCCCAGGTCCCATGTTTAAACATTCCTGCAGGACATCTCCCTCTGTATGTCCTGGCATCTCCAACTCATGTCATTACCGTCTCTGAAAATACATTCTTCTAATTTCCACCATCAGTGCCAGTGATCATATCATTCTCCCAGGGCCCGGGGAAACTGCAAATCCCTGTATGGACACTTGTATGTGCGTAGTTGTTTACATATTGTCTTTCCCTTTAGACTCTGAGCTCCGTGAAGCAAAGCCCATGCTTTGGCCATCTTTGGAGCCCCAGTGCTTAGCACCATGCCTGGTACTAGTAAGCACTTGATAAATACTTACTGACCGACTGACTCTGACCTTTCTTCCCTTTCCTTTGTCCTCTTCATTTCCTTTATTCAGTCTGTCTCAGAATTCTGTCCTCTCATTTCTTCCTTCGAAATGTCTCAAAATAGTTTTCTCTCCTCCTCACCGTTCTTACAGTCCCTATGTAATCCAGGATGTATCATCTAGAGCCTACGAACTTCTGGCACCATCTCCCCATCTCCAACCTTTCATCTACTCCAGTCCACATAGATGGGCCCTCTCCAGTTAGTCCCCTTGGTCACTTCCACCCAATATACACCAGACTTAGTCCTGCTTCCAAAAGTATATACTGATCTTAATCTTGGAATGCTTTGTCCTCTCCATCGAACCCATCCTTCAGTGCCCAACCTCCACCTCCACCAGAAAGGCCTCTCTGATTGCCCTAAGTTGTTCAACAGCGGCCTCCTCCTTCTCTGGACTCATTTTTTTTTTTTTTAAGGCAATCAGGGTTAAGTGACTTGCCCAGGGTCATACGGCTAATAAGTGTCTGAGGCTGGATTTGAACTTGGGTCCTCCTGACCCCAAGGCTGGTGCTCTATCCACTATACCACCTAGCTGCCCCTCTGGGCTCCTCTTGTAATAATAATAGCCAGCACTCATATAGTACTTTAAGATTTGCAAAGCACTTCACTAATATTATTTCATTTAATCCTCACAACAACCTGGGAGGCAGGTGCTATTCTTATCTCCATTTCCCTGGTGAGGAAGTGGAAGCAAAGGTTAAGTGACTTGCCCAGAGTCATAGCCAAGAAGTATCTGAGGCAGTCTTCCTGACTCCAGGTCCGGTGCTCCATCTACCATAGTGTCCAGCTGTCATTTGTACCACAGTCTAACACCCAGGCATTGTAACAGCTTTTCAGCTCAACAGCAGTTCCCTGAGTGCTGAGGTCTTCTGTCTCTTGGGCAGAGCAGATCCCTGGGCTACTCGGGTAAATCCTTATTGACCAAGTGACCTAAGGCAGGACTTCATGGTGTTAGAATGTTCTCTTCTCTCAATGCATTCACTCCAAGTTGGAAGGGGCCCCAGAGACCATCTAGTCCAGCTCATAAACCTGACCAGGAATCCCTTCTACAATTCCCTCCCAGCCTCAAAGTGGTCAGCCAGCTCTGCTTAAAGACCAACAATAATGATGGGGGTGGAGTGGGGGGTGAGGAACACTCATGATCTCTTACTGCAGTCCCGTTCTACTGATGGATCACTCAAATTGTTAGGAAGTTTGGTTTTCTTTTCTTATAGGAAGCCTAAATCTGTCTCTCTCTAACTCCTCCTCATTGCTCCTCCCTCTGGGGCCAACCAGAAGCAATATAATTCTTCTTCCACATAACAGCCCTCCAGATATTAGTGTTTAGCTTTCTAGACACAGCAGACACTGGCTATAACCCTAGGTGGCCATGTGACCCAGTGGTTAGTAAGGAGCTTGGCAGACCCCTGTGGTTGGAGGTTCCAGGGCCCCAGTCATCTCCTCTCTCCCTGTCACCCAACATGTCCTCTGCCAGCAAGAATCCACAAATCCCAAACCACCTTAATGATGGAGGTGGAGTGGGGGGTGAGGAGAATTCATGAGGTCTTCATGCAGTCCATTCTACTGATGGATCACTCAAATTGTTAGAAAGTTTGGTTTTCTTTTCCTTAAGTCTCCTCTCTAGGCTAAATATCGCCAGTTCCTTCAACACCCCCCCCCCCAGTGGACTGGTTTCCAGTTCCCTCCTGGGACCAGGGGGATCCTTCACTCTTGTCCTGGGCCAATATGAGTAGGATGCCCTCCCTCTACAAGGGGTCAGGCAGGGCCATAGGCTAGGGGTGGGTGTGAGGAGGTACTGAGTCTGGCACTGGCTGAGGGAGAAGTGACTACTGGCCCTCTTCCCCCCCCACCAAGGCCTGCCAGCAGTTTCCTCTTGGCAGCCTGTCCCCAGCTGTCCCACTGCAACCAAAGCATTTCCCCTCTTACTGCCTACCCAGCCACCAGCTCCCTTGGTCCCTCCCTCCCTCCCTCCCTCCCTCCTTCCTCTGCGTTGGCCTCTCCCTGGCCCAGGATTTCCTGTTTCTGCAGTGGACAGGCGCTCTCTCTCTGGAGGACTCCCTGGCCGGGGAGGGAGGGGGTGGGACTTGACTTCCTCTGCCTGACAGGCTGAGTCCAAGGGGAGTTTCTTTGTGGAGTGGACAAAGGCAGCCAGTGGGAGTAGTGAAATCGGCCCTGGACTTGGGAGTCAGAATCTTGGATCAGCCAGCCAGCCACATATATCTGTGCGACCTTGGCCTTGTTGCTTCCCCTCTGTGGGGCTGTTTCCTCTCCTGTCAAATGAAGGGGTTGTACTAAATGTTTTTTAAGGTTCCTTCCAGCTCTGACATTTGTGAACCAGAAGTGTGGTGGTTTGGGATTTGTGGATTCTTGCTGGCAGAGGACATGTTGGGCGATAGGGAGGGAGGAGATGATTGGGGCCCTGGAACCTCCAACCACAGGGGTCTGCCAAGCTGCTTACTAACCACTGGGTCATATGGCCACCTAGGGTTATAGCCAGTGTCTGCTGTGTCTAGAAAGCTAAACACTAATGAACCTGCCCCTCGACTTCCCACTTGTTCACACCTTTACTTCAGCAATATCTATCCTGCCTTTGGTCATATACTGTGTTGTACACTAGTCCCCTTCTACTCCCTGAAGGCAGGGGCAAAGGCTTATCCACCTCCATATCTTTCACACTGTCTCATAAATGACTGCAAATAACAAGACAGAGAGACTCAGACTTCATCACTAACCTGGGGGTAGAAGACTGGGGCAGGCCAGGTTCAGATCACTGAGACTCTAGAGGGGGGAAGGATTAATTTGTTTTCCAAGGACTGGGGCCTCTTAGAGATATTTTTATCATTACAGGATCATAGAATTTAGATAGAGCTATATAAGACCCTAAAGAATAGGGGAAACTGAGGCATAGGGAGATAAAATGATTTGCCCAAGGTCACACAGGCAATAAGTAGCAAAGCTGGGAATTTGAACCCAGATCCTCTGATTCCCAATCCTGTGCTCTTTCTAATACATCATAGGTTAGAATGGCCCTTAAAGATTACCTAGGAAATTGAGGCAAAGCACGAGCAAATGTCATGCCTGGGATTACATACAGCAAGTGAGGAGCACCAGGTGTCTTGCCCTCTCCCTGTCCCTGATGTCCTCGTTCCTCCACTTACCCAGTGTGATGGGCTTACTGTCTTCTTGGTCAGAGCCCATTCCTGCCCGGGGGCTGCTGCTCTGCTCTGAGTCTGAAATGAGAGAAGAGAGACATGGCATTGAAAACTCCTTTCCCCCTATGTTTGCCACAAGGAATAATAACAATAATAAAGTGTCACATTTTTTAGCACTTAAATTTTCAAAGCACTTTTATACACATTATCTTGTTTGACCCCCCACAACAACCTTTTAAGATAGGTAAAGCAAATAAATCTATGAATCTATGATCTCTATTTTATAGATGAGAAGAAAAAGAGGCATTAATGGATAGAGTGCTGGGCTTAGAATTAGGAAGACCTGCATTCAAATCTTACCTTTCAGTGGATGTGTAACCCCAGGGCAAGACACTGAACCACTATGATTCAGACAACTTTCCAAAGACTTATTCACTAAGCCACTGACTGGTTTTGGTTTGCTTGGGTGGAGGGACCTCCTACTCTAAGAGTTTCCACCCACTGCTAAAATCACAAATCCTTCATTTATCTGTATACAAATGAAGAAACTGAGGTTTGGGTCAAGTGACTCCCCACAGTCACGAATATACCAAGTGAGAGAACAGAGAGTGAAACTCTAATCTCTTGACTTCCAGTCGAGAGCACTTTCTAGCATGTCTCTACCAGCTGGCCCCAGAGCTGCCCACCTGTCCATCCCTATTCCCCTGGAGTAGCTTAGGTGCCAACCTCATGGGTTCCAATCCTAGATGATCATAGATTTAGAGCTGGAAAGCGCCCTAGAGACCAAAGAGTCCCAATCTCTTATTTTACGGATGAGGAAACTCAATCAGAGAAAAGACAAGAGACTTGGCCAGGATCACATAGCTAGTACGTGTCTGAGCTGTCTTCCTGATTCCAGGTTCAGAGCCCTCTGCTCCCAGCTGGGCATCCTTTGGACATTCCCAGCTTGCCTCTCTTGCTATGATTGACCTCCCTCCAATCCACTTCTTTCTTCCCTCTGGGGAAGGCATCCTAATTGCCCAGTCTGATCTCTTGGCTTCTTGAGGGAATCCTGCCCCATTCCAGATGCCAGATAGGAGCAGGTGGGAAGGTGATAGCCTGGCCCCCATTTGGGGATGGAGTTGGGATGGTGAACCTATATGCGGGGTTTGGTGATGGGGAAAGACCATCCCCTACCACAGATGGTTAAAAAGTTAATAGCTGGTGACCAGGCAGGGTCGGAGTGCTGGGCCCGTTGCCATGGTGACAGCCTTACACTAATGGCTCCCTGACGTAATCTGATTTGCTGAGTTAATGGACAGTCTCGGCGGCCTCTGCCTGCCCGCCAGAGCTCCCTCTCCCGCCCAGATGGTGATAAATGGGCTCCCTCACCTCCCCAGCACCCGCCTGCCGGCTGCCCGGAATCAAGGAAGCTCCCGACCTCCGGCCCAGTGGCGCCTTTAACCAGGCCTGGCTTATGCTGAGCCTCCTCCCTCCTTTCTTTTCTATCCTCCTCCTGCTTTCAACCGCCCAGAGGGTTCCTGGACCCTGGAGGACACCAGGAATCATAATAACTCCAATCATCTTTAGTGCTGGAAACTTTACAGAGAGTGTTTCTCCCACTCACCCTTTGAGGTGAGTGTTGGCAAGTACTGCTGTCCCCATTTTGCAGATGTGGAAACTGAGGCCCAAAGAGATGAAGAGGCTTGCCCAAGTTCACACAACTAGAGAGTGGCAGAGCCTGCATGCAAACCCAGGTCTCCTGACTCCAAGTCTGGAACTCATTCCACCCTACCACGTGGCCACACATTACCTTCCAAAATGCCCGACCTTTGCTGGTGTAGGGAGAGAGGGTGGTGATTGATCAATCAGCCAATCAATAAACTCTTACTGAGCACCTGCTATGTGTCAAGTACTGTGTTAGGTGCTGAGGATACAAAGGAAAAAAATAGTCCCCACCCTTGAGGAACTAACACTCTGTTGAGGAAACCCATAGGCATATATACAGGGCATCTCAAAAGTTCAGTTATGAGTTTTAATTTAAAGCTTACTTTAAATTCAATCTTGAAATAGTACTAAGACTTTTGGGACACATATAAGTATATTCAAAATATGCCAAGTAAATACAAGGTAAGTTCAGTAGGAAAGCACCAGCAGCTGGAGGGAGATGGAGCACACACATGTACTCATGGGCAGGAAGGAAGCTCTGAGTCATTCTCCTCTCCCCTGGCTCTCTGGTCCAAGCATCAACTGTGTGTTTCTCAAGGTAGTAATAATAACTGATGAAATGCTGCAAAGTTTCCAAAGTGTTTTATACACATGATCTCATTTGTTCTTTACAACAGCCCTGTGAGGTTAAGTGCTGCAGAATATGTCATTATTCCCATTTTACAGATGAACAAACTGGGGCTGAGAGATTAAGAAACCTACCCATTTGGACACAGGTAGCATCTGATTCGTTAGGGGGCTGTGGGCATGTATCTCAGAGTATGCCTGCCCCCTGTGTACATACATCCATTCAGTACACATTGAACACATGGATGAATTCACATACACACAGGACATACTCATGCTCCGGCACAGATGCACATGTGCATGTAAAATGATCAGGTTGGACAAGACAAGAGGATACAGAAGGTCAAAAGTGGAAGGGACTTTTGAGGACATGTAGTCCAATTTCCATATTTTATATTTGAGGAAACTGAGGCCCAGAAAGGGGTGGTGACTTATCAACCCACAGTCATAACAAGAATTAGTGGCAGAGTTGGAACCCAGGTTTCCTTCCTACCAGTCCTAGGCACTTTCTAAGGAACCATGCAACTGAATGGCACAAAATCATGGGAAGAATCAGAAGCAGTCTCTAAGGTCCCTTCCAGTCCCATGTGAGAGAGTTTCCTGTTGTGGAAAAAGCATTGGACGGATAGCCAGAAGATCTGGGGTCTAGACCCAGTTCAGCTATTAACTCCAAAGCAATTTACTTTCTCCATCTGAGCCTTGAATGCTAAAATAGAAGGGTGGAACAGATAACAGCCAACGAATCTTTCAATTAAGAAATTCCATGATTCTATGATTCTCTTCTAGCTCTTTACATTCTATATTTTAAGGTCCCTCCTAACTCCAACATTCTATGTCTGAGGGCCCTTCAAGCTCTGACATTGCATGAGTCTATGAGTTAGATAGGTACCTGTTTGCTGAGAGGGCACACATCAGCCTTCTCTTCCGCAAAGCTTTCAGCTATCCATTGTGCCCTCATCTCCTGCAAAGTTACCCATGAGCCAATGCAGGGGCCCAGGTCTGTCTTCTTCACTCCTTCCTCTCCCTAGCCTTGCCCAGCTACTGTGTAACTCCTTATCACAGAATCTCAGCCTAGGTGTTCTCCATTCCACCCCACCAAGGGGTGATGGGCACCCCTCAAGCCTCCATCCCCACCTGCCCCACAAAAGTCACCTCTCTGCATCTGGAGATCAGACTGGTCCAGGATACACACCTTGCAACATGTTCCACGAGTGTCCCTTCCCATTTCAGGGGTCAGAAACACGGGGCAGGAGATCCTTGCTGGGCTCTGGCCTCCCCCCTTCAACAACTGCCTGCACCAGCTCTCATCAGGAGCACACACACACACATACACACACACTATGTGATCCCCTTGCCTTCATCTTATCTAAAAATAATCAGCCTCCTTGAGCCATGAGCAGACGCTGAGCTCAGCATTATTGGTTTCTAGAGCAGCTTGGATCAGAGGCCCAGATCTACTTCCTTTTTCTCAGTCTTCTTCCCTGCTCCAACAAGAGGGACAGGGTAAGGGGTAGCCAGGTCAATCTCATTGGAAGAAAGACCATTCCTTACTTCCTAGCTGGACCAAATGAAGGTACACCCCTATTCTAAAAGGTATATGAGGTTTTGGGGACAGAGCACATCATTTTCTGCATGCATGTCCATACAACATTCTCTCCTTATCCCAGGGGCCTGTTCTCAAATGTGTCCGATGCTTTCCTGCATCAGAATCTTTGGTACAGCTGTTCCCTTCACCCAGAATTCCCCTCCCCATTCTCTCTACCACTTCCCGTCTGCCTCTGACCCATTCCTCACCCCTCAGGGAACGGTGATATGATGGAACTAGCACTCCGTTTGGACCAGTAGACCTGGTTTGAATCCAGTCTCTGCCACTTTCTCGCTACATGACCTTGGTCAAGTCACTTCCATCCTTTGAAAGTCACTTTTCTCAACAGTAAAATGAAGGCATCTACTAGATGATCTCTAAAGTTCTTTCCAGTACTAACTTTCTGTGAGTCTATGATCTCTATTTGTCTTCCTGGTCCTTCAAAGTGCAGCTCAAATGGTACCTGCTCCCTGAAGCCTTCCTAGTTGGTCTCCAGTCCATATCCTCACCTCTCTTATGGAGGGTAACTTGGAGGATTGTGAGGGGATTAGAGACCATGCCATTACAGGATCAAGTAATGGAATGGGGGGTTCTTAACCAAAAGGAGAAAAGACCCAAAGAAGACATGACCGTCTGTCTTCATATTTGTTGTTCAGTCCTTTCAGTTGTGTCTGACTCTTCATGGCCCCATTTAGGATTCTCTTGGCAATGATACTGGAGTGGTTTGCCATTTCTGTCTCCAGCTCATTTTACATATGAGGAAACCAAAGCAAACAGAGTTAAGTGCCTCACCCAGGGTCACACAGCTAGTAAGTGTCTGAGGCCAGCTTGAACTCATGAAGATGAGTCTTCCTGATCCCAAGCCCAGTGCTCTATCCACTGCTCCACCTGGCTGTTTCTGTCTTCAACTGTCTGAGGGGAAGTCATGAGGAAGAGGGATTATGGTTATTCTACTTGACCTCTGAGGGCAGGACCAGGAGCAGTAGGTAGCAGGTATAGCAATACAGATTTCTATCCTTTATAAGGAGGACCTTCCTAACTGTGAGAGCTGTCCAGACATTGTCGGAGGTAAACTAAGGGAATAGGGAGCTTCCACCATTAGAGGTATGCAGAGACTGGATGATTACATCCAATGAATGGTGTATGTAGAACTCATACTTTGAGGAAGGGTTGTACTAGATGTTTTCTGCAGGGCCTTCTCACTTTAGAATTCTTGACC